GCCGTGTTCAACAGCTCAGACGACGTGTTCAACAGCTGGACGCTTGTTTCAATAGCTCGGCTCCTAGTTAAACTGGTCGGACGCCCGCTCCTAATGTCTGGCGACAAGCTGAATTGCTCTGACAAGCTCAATACGGTGTTGCTCAACGGATACAAGGCGCTCGGGGACTAGCTATGGGGGTATAACCCCCAGTACCCACAGGGTTGTACATGGGCCGAACCGCTAGGGGAGGCCCTAGCCCGCAAGACTACGTCGCGCAGAGCACGGCACAGATCGGCGTGCCTCGTAAGACTGCGTGAAGATCCTTGGCGATCAAGGATGATCTGTTCGGATATGCTATATTCCGCAATATATGTAGTTCATATCTTATAAACCGATTAGGATAGAAACAATCGATCTATAACCCTACCCCCCATGCTATATAAGGCGGGTAGGGACCCCTCGTTTTCATCAGATCACATGTAATACAATCCACAAAGACACAAGACATAGAGTATTACGTCAAGACGACGGCCCAAACCTGTCTAGTCGCTGTCGTGGGCATACCCCTCGGTAGACTGCCAACCAGATTTCGTCCACAGTTTAAGAATAGGATATCCCATAGAAGCTTTCAACATTGTTGTGTCTACAATGTGGAAAATGGCATTATTCTAATTTGTCTCCCCAATTTGGGGCTTGCAAGCTAATAAAGCCAACCAGCTAAAAACTAAGAAACTAATAAACCTCTTTCCTTAAGTAGTTGGTTTTGCACGTTGGACCAAGACCACAATACGCCATATTTTAATGAGCAAGGACACACCGGGACAACGATGGATCCTTTTAATTGATTACCTAGTTTTAAAAGTATTTATTTGTTTATTTTCGTATTAGCGTTGGGTCAAAAAAATCTGCATTGACATCTAGTTGATAGCATGTTTTGCTGAGCTAAAACACTCACACAAATAAAAAAAATCTCTAACCAATTATATATATTTATAAATCGAAACATGTATCATGAGCCAATAAGCTAACAACACATAACACATGATATTTCTGTCTCGAAAGTCGAAAAGTCCAAGCATCATATTGTATCAAAACTCATGACGAAAAGCAAAAGGGATGTTGAGACCTACAAAAAGTTCAAAGTCCAAAATCAATAGAAAATACTAGTGCCTTCAATCTTATTTTCTTTTTTGTCTCAAAATATAACTGCGAGTCTTCATCATTGTGTGCTCAGGTCCTTCGTGCGCCTGAATACTTGGAGTCACCTTGTAGCCCCAAATGACATGGCCCATTTAATTTGTACACCCTTTAGGCGCCCCTACCATTTTTCCGTCCCCACCAAACAGAACTCATCCAAAGTGACGAATAAAACTGCCACGTGCACGGCGCTAGATATCGTCGTCCGCTGGAGGGCGGATACGTGTGCTGCATGGAGTCTTGTATGGCCGGGCCCCCATGCATGGCTGAGATCGTACACTGCATGTGAATTTGTGTCTCACCACACCATAACAAAAGAAAATCGAAACCAGAGACGCTGGGAACTCGGTCGATCGTCAAACAGAGCTTGCGGCAGCTTTGAAGTAGAGGCCGTACACGACGCCTTTGCTATGCCTGCCTAGATGCATGCATGTAGATAGAAACCGGCGGGTGGACGACTGAGCGGAAGCGTCAACACGTAGAGGTTCGACCGTCTCTGGCCAGATAGATGGAAAGTCATAGGGATAGGGATCTTGTTTGAACCCAGACATGCATGTAGTGCATGCTTGCTTGCATGTAATATGTATGCACGCACGTCAGGCCTGTTGTTCCTTGCCGATCCAACCCCGGCCGACAGGCGCGCGGCTTCTTCGGCGATGGCGACTTTAGCAATGCCGAGGTGGTGATTGCTCCGGCTCTCACCCATCTACTTGCATGTGCGTGTGGTGAAGAGGCAAACACCAAACAGATCGAGGGAAAGCCCACCATACGCGGCAGGCTTGCATGTTGCCTTGGTTTTCGCCGCCGGCGGATGTGGTCCTAGCCAGTGGACGCCGAACACCAACAGCATGCATGTGTGTGTGGAGAGATCGAGAATTCGAGATATAGGCGCTGACGCCAATGACGAGAGCATGCCCGGCCGTCCTCCGCCTCGGCTCTTCCGTGCGTTTCTTCTGGTGGCCACTCGCGCGGTGCGGCGTTGATGGGACGCTCAACCTGGAAGAGACCAGGTAGGCACCTCCTCACCGCACCTCCAGCGTGAACTGTCTCGTGGCCTTGTCGTCGTCAGCCTCGTCGTCGTCGCCAGCGAAGTCGGCGAGGGGACAAGGACGCCGAGCGCCCGAGCCTAACCTCCGCCAGGACGCACTCGAAGCGCACTTCGGCGTTCTGGGCCGGGGCACGCCGCCGCGGCCGCGTCGACCAGGACGTAGTGGGTCCCACAAGGACGCCCCGGTTGTCGTCCTCGTGGGGCGTACACCTCGCCGTGCGCGCCACTCCTAGAAGGACTCTCTAGCGGCGGTGGGGTGGTCGGCACCCATCTCCATGTTAATTAGCCGAGGCGCTGTAGACGGGCAATAGTCGGTGCAGCGGCCGAGCGCGGCACGGAAGACGGGGCGCCCGCGCTCCATGGCGCCGCCAAGTGACTCGAATCGAAAACTCTAAAGAGCGCTGCCGCGCGGCCTCCGTCGCTGCGTCGCCCTAAGCCTCGCCATGCCGCTGCCCTAAGCTCGCCGCGCGTGCGCCACACTACCGGAAACAATATATAGGCCGAGAGTGCCGGGTGGTTTGCCGAGTGCATTCCTTCGTGCACTCGGCAAACAGTATCTTTACTGAGTGCCTACAGGTAAAAATTCGACAAAAATAAATACACTCGGCAAAAAACTTATTTGTCGAGTGCATGAAATAAAACACTCAGCAAAGCACAACAAGACACTCAGCAAAGAATAGACACTTAGCAAAAGATCGCCACGTGTGACGGCCGTCAACCAGGGTGCGACCGTTAGAACTTTACCGAGTGTCGGTGAGTGACACTCGGCAAAGAGAATCTTTGCCGAGTGTTTTTATCTGGCACTCGACAAATAGGTTCGTTTGCTGAGTGTTTTATTTTGACACTCGGCAAATTAAAAAGTTTTTTTCCTCCCCTGGCCTTGAAATTTTTTCTACTCTCCACATACAACATGTGGTACTCCATGTTAGAATTTGGTAAATTTCTGGATATGTTTACTATATTTAATTAATTTATTGCATTTCAAGGAATTTTTTGTATAAGTCAAATTTGAACTGCAAGTGATTCAAATAATATAATAAAATGAGTAGAAAAATGATATTCACGTTATTGAGTCCGGTGTGAGGCCTTACTCAGGAAATGAAAAGAAATTTCGAACATCTTGTTCACGAAACACGACCACGAACGTGTGGCCTAATGGTTTTTAAATTCTAAAAAAAACAAACGAAGTTTGAAAATCATGAGATTTGTCAAGATCTCGTGATATCATACGTGTAGGCCATGGTAAAAAAATTGAGAAGGTTTCGCACAATCTGTCACGTACGATATTTACAAACCGAAGTATCTCAGAAGAAGAATCGTAGCGTTGAGAAGGATTCGGTAAGATTTGGAGTCAAAGTGACGGTCGAATTAGGGTTTGACTTCAAAACTTTTTGTATAGGCAATAGAGAACATAGATTCATTCATGTGTACTTTTGGTAAATTTTTGGATCCGTACGATAATTTTAATTTGTTAAGTGCAATTATAGGATTTTAATTGATACACATTGAATTTGAGCTACAACTGCATGAAATAATAAGTTTTTTTACCACTATGTGCTGCCGGGGAGGAGAAAACCGAATGAGCTAAGGTTTTGCGATGCCACTATGTGCTGGCGGCGGCCGCGACACGCGCCGCGCTCTGCGATGTGCTCGCCGTGTGCTCCGCTTCGCCCGCACGTGCACGCCCTAGCTCCAGCCTGTGCTGACGGCGGCGGCCACCTGCAAACGCTTGCCCCGCTTGCCCGTCAGAGCATGCCCATGCGCGTGTGCGCCCCGCTCGCCTCGTGCGTGTGTGGTCGTGTGTCTACACCCTGCTCACCCTCCTGGGAGAGCAGGAACGAAGGAACGACAGGCCGTGGGAAGAACGAATGGACCTCCTGGTCGCACGTAACATAAGAGTGTTGTGTGGTGATTTGCTTGATGCCCGCAGGTAACAATGTGGCACATTAGTCTACCACGTCCACGTAGAATAAGGAAAACCTGGAGAATTTAGAAATAGTTTATGGTCCAAATGCACAAGTATTAATTAGATTTTAATTATTTTTTGAAAATGTAAAATAAAAAAACACACAAATAATAATTTAAAAACGAAACCAATTTTATTAGGTTTCTATAAACTAAATCTACAAGATATAGGTCATAAAGATCATAAAATATGCTTTATGTAATCAAATTTGTATATTTCTTAATATGTTCATCGAAACCAAAAGCCATGTGCATCGGCATAGATATGGATATTTCTTAATATGATCGCCTGTTGCAGCATAGTGTTATTGTGTAAATTCACAAATTTGTTAGAAACTAGCCATCAATCAGTATATATCCGATGAAACTATTGTACCAATAAAAATACCATAAGGAGTCTAGCCACACTATTTATGGATGCCACGTTACTAGTCACAAGTAGTAGACATTAGACAATAGTATTTATTGTTTGAAAGCCACAGATTTTGAAAGAACATGCAAATTTGTTTAGAGCCAGCGTCGTACTGTACTATTATTATCTTAAATAAGATTTTATTTAACTAATCCGCTATATGTTCCGTAGTGGAAAATAACGAAAAAGTAAAAAAAAATCTATTCAATGATCCCAAGTCGATCCGTAGTCGAAAATAACTAAAAAGTATTAAAAAAAATCTATTCAATGATCCCAAGTCGAAGTAGAGTCCAAGTCGCACGTGACCTGTTCCACCTATTTAGCCCCGCGCCCCCACCTAGCAGAAGCATACGAGAATAATCCCAGCTATTATCCCCGATCGAGCGCAGCAGCAAGATGGCGCCGCCGGAGCTCATGGACGATCTCATCGGCGAGATCCTCCTCCGCCTCCCCCCGGAAGATCCAGAGTGCCTTGTCCGCGCCTCCCTCGTCTGCAAACCCTGGCGTCGCCTCCTCTCCGATCCGAGATTCCCCCGCCGCTACCGCGAGTTCCACGGAGTGCCACCCCTGCTCGGCTTCCTCCACAACGAGGACGGAGGTCGCCAGTTCTTCCCCCGCTTCGTCCCCGTCAAAGAAGCGTCCCCTATCCTTAACCCCCCGCCGGATCCTCACTGCTATATCCTCGACTGTCGCCACGGACGCGTGCTCCTTCTCAACGGCTATAATCCAAGTCTCATCGTCTGGGACCCCATCACCAACAGCCGGCAGGACCTTGGGTGGCCCAAGTTAAATTACTATTACCGCTATACGGCAGCGGTGCTCTGTGCCTTGGACGGCTGCGACCACCTCGGTTGCTGTGGTGGTCCCTTCCTCGTGGTCTTTGTAGTCATCGACTTCCCGAACGAGCTTGGCGGTGACGATGCAACAACTAGAACGTACTCATCGGAGACTGGCACATGGACTACTGGTGTCTCATCAGTTTACCTTGGCCTCCCCAAGCCTGGCCGCAAGATGATAGGGAGCAGCCTACTTGCCAGAGGCGCACTATATTTCATCCTCGAGAACGGACGGAGAATCCTCAAGTATGACTTGGCTGGGTGTGGCATATCGGTGATGAGCCCACCACCCTTGCCTGTGGGAAACATGGTGCTCATGAAGGCCGAGGGCGGTGGCCTGGGAGCCTGCGGTGTGGAGGGCCACAACCTGCACCTGTGGGCGTGGCGGACTGGCCCCAATGGCATTCCGGAATGGGAGAGGGGCAGGGTTATCCAGCTTGACATTGGTGACCTCTCTACAAAGCTTGATGTTGTTGATTTTGCGGAAGGTGCTGGTTCCATCTTCATATTCGCAAACAAGGGCGTCTTTGCTGTTGACCTAAAATCTGGCCGGGCCAGGAAGATAGGAAAGGGAGGGGAGTTCAAGGTCATCTTTCCCTTCATGAGCTTCTACACTCCTAGTACTAGCCTCATGCCCACTGATTTATTTCCACAGTCCTAATTTTCCAACTTTGATTCAGACTTCTGTGTCATTATTTTTGCCTCAGAGATGTTATTCCAGTATGTAATGCCATGATATGGATATTAATACTGTAATAGTATATCTGCAAAAAATAATGTGGATAGTAATATGGATTGTGAGAATGCAATCTCATGTGCAGCATTTTCACCAACTTGTTTTGGTTAGGCACTTGAACTATATTGACTTCTCAACTTCCTGGTGAATTTAAAGCATTTGTTTCGAAACTCAGTTCTGTAACCATCAATATACATCATAGTTATAGGTCTGATTTTTTTAGTTGTACCACCTTCGTAAGTTTTTCCCATTTTATCTTCTCAGAAGAGATCATGCTACCACCAGATTGCAAGCACCAATGATGATGGAGTAATCAAGCATGTTACTTGAGGAAGCCGTTGTGAGCATCTTGTACAATTGACACTTGTGCTGCTCTGTTTCAGTCATTGTCACTGAATGTGATTGTTTCGGTCATTGCCACTGACTAGGACTATTATTGGATCTGAATATTAATTTCCATTAACTAAAAATGGATCAGTAATTCAGGGTGGCTTACAGGTTGAGGCTCTGTGTCTGACATTAAGATTGCTTGCTCAAGTTACAATTCTTCATTTACAATTTTGGCCATTGTAAACTCAACTCTATCTTTAATCAGGAACGTTGTTTCAGTTGAAGTTTCAGTTTATTTGAATTATTGTTTGGGTTGATACTTAGCATGTCCTACTGGAAATGAAGTTACACATGACATGTAAGCAGTTCTGCATGTGTAGTGAACCCACTAAAGTAATTTTGCCGGTTTTTGTGACAGCATGAATAGTTGATCCCTTGCTATCTCATAGTAGGCAGTTACTTGCTGTTCATGTAAGTTTGTTTAACTTGTTATTACTGACTTGTGTTCAAACCATGAGAAGGTCAATGTGACTTTGATGGTCAATGCCAGTATATAAGTGACCAGTTTGACTCAATAGTAGAGAATAGACTTTTGGTTTTTCGCTTTAGTCCCGGCCGGAATTTGGTCCTGGAAGTAATATGAGATTTAGTCCCGGTTGGAACCACCAACCGGGACTAAATCCTCTGTCCAACAAATAGTGCAGCAGGCTTTTGCAGCAGGAATCTTTAGTCCCGGTTTGTGGTTCAAACCGGGATTAAAGGTGGCCTTTCAATCCCGGTTGGAACCACCAACCGGGACCAAAGGTTTTGCTGGCCGTTTATCCCGGGTTTTGGCTCCAACCGAGACTATAGATTGATCATTTAGTCCCGGTAGGCTCTACCAACCGGGACTAAAGGTCCCCACCTATATATACCCGCTTCCACTGTCCCCCCAGCCCAAGACATGTCGGTCAAATCTTGATCTTTGCTTATTGTTCATCCGTGTTCATCCGTGTTTTGTTTGGGGAGCAAGTTCTTGCTCTCGGCCGTTGGCTTCATCTTCAATCTTCTAAAGGTTAGCAACTTCATCTTCTAATCTTTCATTGCTAATAATGTAGATCGTTTCATGCTTTAGTAATAAGCATAGAAATATTCAAATATGTGGTTTTTAATTATGAATAATAATGGTGGATTTTATTTTTATTTATACATCTTTTCTACATAACCTTAAACATTTATTGTTTTCTAGATCTTTGTTAGCAACATTATTTCTCGATGAGAGTTAATAATCATTAAAAAAATTATGTGCAAAATGTTTAAGTTTACTTGGCATGCTATATATATATACATACATATACATATATATATATATATATCTTGATGATTTATTTTTTATATGTTTCTCTAATATATATTATTGCATGGTATATTTATACGGGGGTTCTATATTTATTTGGAAGTTTTTTTAATTACAATGAATGGCGGCGGACTTCCCCAGCCACAGGAACCAGGTTTTCACTGACGATCTTCCATTCGGCCGTTCTGCGTCACCTAGACCCATCAATAGTATGAAATATTTTAAGTTTTGTGTGCTAATATAATTTTTGCATATATACATTCATCCATAATATGATTGTTGCATATGTCACAAACTATAAAACCGGTCAAGTGGCTGGAAGTAGCACTATGGCTACTCGGGGTGTGGGATATCTTCGAGACGATGACAAGTGAGGTCGTGAATGATGAAGGATGCGAGTTATGGACGTGCAGTATCGCCTTTCACATCCCATTAGGTGCAATAATGTGGTGCGCTAGGACATCCTGCAGACTGGATGACAGTCGCCGACCAAGATAGGCCTCCAGATCGATGCCATGCTGCTTTCTTTGCACGCAATTGAGCGAATTGGCTACCGTATGCCTGATTTCTCGTCTTTGAAGATAGAAGCTTTACGTGAGCGTAGTTTGGACGTGCCGCGAGTAAGCGAGAGGCATGCGACATTCAACCATATGTATGTGGTACGTCATGTATGATATGAGAGTAATGTTTATTTATTCTTATTATTATATGAGCGCTTTCTGATATTTTTTGTTTGTCCGCTTGCAGGTTTTGCTCTATGATTTCACGTATGCTACATGTGGCTTGTAGCCCATTCTCACGCAAGCTCTTAAGCGACTCGGGTACACCTAGGACTTCATGGAAGCGATGGGCCAGAGGACGACAGCTAGCATCCAGTATTGTGTGAGATTTAGGCAGAACCAGGCCATCGATAGTCCGTCCATAGGCTACATCTATGGGATGCCATGTCTTCAGCGTTGTGAGGCAATGGAGAGGGTTGCAGTGCGGGCCTTGCATTACATAGACAATGACCGTGGTTACACAATCCGAGACATACGCTACTAGCAGTGGAGACAGGCTAGGGTTGCAGCGGGTATGTACGATCCATGTGTTAGTTAGGTTTATTCGTACTGTTATGTTTAATTAGGTTTATTCAAACAGTTATGTTTAATTTGGTTTATTTGTATTGATATTTAAATTATGTTTGTATGCAAGTTATTTATGTTCATTAGGCTTATTTGTATGGATATTGTAATTATGTTTGTATGGATTGAAATTTAACTCGTATAGGATTGAAATGCATATACAAATAAAAAAATTAGAGAAACAACCAAAACGAAAGTTGTAGATCTCGAAAATTTATACAACTTTGTAGTTGACAACTTTTTCATTTGAAGTCATCTTGTTAAGAAAAACTATGTTTGAAATTCTGTTTGAAATTAAATTTTTAAAGAAGTTTGATTTCTCTTTTTAATCTCCGGCTAAAACTTGTAACTAGTCTTTTCTCTGTGATGCTAACTTCAAATTTGATGATTTTTTATCTAAAATTTTTTAAATTCATGCACTATCAATTTATTGTGTTCTTACAGGCTTTCATTTTGGTCATCTTTTCATATAAATTTGTTTTATCAATTCAAAAATTAATTCTCAAAAAATGACAACTTTAAACAGCATTTTGTAAAAGTAAATGAATTCATCTGGGAAATTCATAAACATAAAAGTTGTAGAATTAATCAAGATGTACAACTTTTTTTTTGGTATTTTCTTTGTCCGACAAAGTTAGTGTACATTGTTCACAAATTTATGAACAATGTACACTACCACTTTGCAGATGAAGAAATGACCAAAATAAAAGTTATAGATCTCAAAAAGTTACACAACTTTGTAGTTGACAACTTTTTTATTTGAAATCATTTTGTCAAAAAAATATGTTTGAATTTCTAAAATTTGAATTTTTAAAATGTCCTCAAATGGAGAAATGACCAAAACAAAAGTTGTAGATCTCAAAAAGTTATGTAACTTTGTAGTTGACAACTTTTTTATTTGAAATCATCTTGTCAAGAAAAACTATATTTGAATTTCTTAGATTTGAAATTTGAATTTTTAAAATCTAATTATAATTTATAGCATATGTTATTAAACATTTAAAGGATATGAAAGCAATTTTGTATTGCAATTTTTTGAGCTATATTTTTTTTACTACACAATTTCTAATTTTAGTCTATTTATATTAAAGGATATGTTAAAAACTATTGCATAGACGAGAAATGAAACTGTCGGGTAGGCAGCAGCTTCGCCGCGCCCCAAAATCTAGCTTTAGTCTCGGGTTGGGCCACCAACCAGGACTAAAAGTCCTTTAGTCCCGGTTTGTGGCCCAACGCGGGACTAAAGGTCCTTTAGTCCCGTGTTGGGCCATAAACCGGGACAAAAGGACTTTTAGTCCAGGGTGGTAGTCCAACCTAGGACTATAGGGTTCTACCGTATATAAATGGATGTTCTTTCTTCATCATCCCAAAATTTCACTCACCACCGCCGCCACGCCGCGCTTTTTCAATCCCCTAGGCCATCGTCCACACCCGCGCCCGTGCCCTCGCCCTCGCTGTCGTCCACGCTCGCGCCCTCGCCGTCGCCCTCAACGTCGTCCGGGGCCGTGACCTTACCCTCGCCGTCGTTCACGTCCGCGCCCTCGCCCTCGCCGTCGTCTGTGCCCGCGCCCTCGCCGTCGTCGTCGTCGACGCCCGTGCCCTCGCCGTCGTCTGCGTCGTCACCCTTGCTGTCACTGCGTAGTCGCTCTCGCCCTCGCCGTCGTCCGCACCGCTCCTCCATCCTCGTCAGCGCCTCGCCGTCGTCCTCGCCTGTGCCGTTGTCCTTGCCCTCATCTCCGACCTCGCCCTCATCTCCAGCGGCGCCTTCGTCTTCGGCCTCGCACACCCTCGCTGCTGCCACTAGGTGAGCAGTGCCAACCACATCGATCTCATCCCTTCCAGTGCTAGTAACACGAGCAACGGCAACGAGCTGGACGTAGGGACATTCTGCCCGAACCAGTATAAACCCCGTGTCCTTTAAGCACACCATCCGAGCCAGACGCATAATATTAAAAATTTACTCGTTGGCGTTTACTCAAAACGCTGACAGATGGCAACACATAGGTCCACATGACATGTAAAACAAAAGTAGCAACTAGCATTAAGTTTTGATATCTCTATCGGCAAATAACACATTCAAGCATTAAAGCCTTGTTTAAATTTAGGGTGTAAAGTTTTTGGGTGTCACATCGGGTGTTATATGGTGGTGTTCGGATACTAATAAAAAAATAAATTACAGAATCCGTCGGCAATCCGCGAGACGAATTTATTAAGTCTAATTAATCTATCATTAGCACATGTGTTATTGTAGCACCACATTATCAAAACATGGACTAATTAGGCTTAAAAGATTCGTCTCGCAAATTAGTCGTAAACTATGTAATTAGTTAATTTTTTAGTCTATATTTAATATTCTATACATATGTTCAAATATTTAATAGGATAAAGAGTAAATTTTAGAGGTCAACAAGGCCTGAGTCCTAACAAACTAACAACTCTCCCAGCAGTTTCTCCATCCTTGGTACCGGACGTCCTAGACTAGTGGTAGCTGCCGACCTAGTGGTTGGCTGTCTAGCCGTCGGGGCTGGCTAGCTGCCTTGTGCTGGCCGCCTAGCCGTCGGAGGCTCAGAGGCCCACGCCACCCATGGTCAGCTCCACCGGGTTTCTTTTCCTTATTTGATGTGCTCCGACTTTTTACTTATAAAATAAAATTATGTGTTTTATTTAAAATTTACCATTCATTCATATTTAGTTTTTTTTATTTTAGGGGCATAGGGTTTCATACTCTAGATTTTCTTCCCCCTAGTTTTAAGTATTTATATACAAGAAAGGTTGTATGCCAGGATTTTATACTTATGGGTGATTAATGCCCTTGTATTTAGTGTTTTATTATTGTTCTATGTTTAGGGCTTATCAAGGTTCTTATTTAGGGGTGATCAGGTTATTTTATTTAGGGTTCAACAATGTTTTCCATTTAGTAGGGTAGTTGTGGGATTATTTTTATGTGTTGTTACTATGTCTACCACCCAGTTGAAAGCTTTTTGTGCTTTAGGGTTTCAAGGGTTACGACTATATTTTATCCTTCAGTTGTCATCTTGTTGTGTTGCGGGATACCTTTTCAAGTGTTGCTACTATGTTTGCCATCCTAGTTCGAAGATGTGTGATTTAGGGTTGCTTTAAAGGTAATAACTATGTGTTTGTTGTTGTGTTGTGGCATTATTTTTAAGGACTATTGTTTTTTGTTGTTCCGGTTTATATTTTCTTGTTTAGGCTTTGTTATGTTTTTTATTAAATTTTTTGTTGTTGTTGTTGTTGTTGTTGTTGTTGTTGTTGTTGTTGTTGTTGTTGTTGTTGTTGTTGTTGTTGTTGTTGTTATTTTCTTTATAATTTGCCCCCTATGCTTCTTCTTTATATGTTTGCAATGCAGAAATTTTCGTTTTGTTGCTTCCTTACCACGGTAAGGCCATGACATGCATTTTATGCCATATTGTTTTGTTGTTGTTGTGGCCCATAGTTAGTAACTTGTTCTTTTATATATCCACAATGCAGAGTTTTTTTTTGTTTTGCTGTAGTGGTAGGAAATTTTGTGCTATATTGTTCTGTTGTTGGAGTTTTTTTTATAGTCCCCCACCCCACCGTTAAGTTGGCAGCTTGTTTTTTTAATATGATGTTCGCAATGTAGGAGCTTGTGTTTTTGTTGCTTCTTAATTACGTCCGATAGGCATTTTTGTGCTATGTTGTTTTGTTGTTTTTGTTTTGGGATTGTTTTTATATTTTTCTCCTCAGTTAATAACTTATTCTTTTATACGTTCACAATGCAGGTCCACATCTTTGCAAGTATATTCGGTTGTTTTAGTTCATTCCAACAACCGGTTGCTTGGGGACTCTCAGACACATGACTGTGGAGTAGACGGTCCCTTTTTTTTGGACCATCAAAATTAATTGTGACAAGTAGGAGATAAGATGAAAGATGCAGCCCTCGTTTCTGTCTCTATTGTTGCTGCTGTCGCTACCGATTATAGATCGGCACAAAAAATGAAAAAGAAGAGGGGAAGGAAATTAATTTAGTATGCAAGTTTGCAGTCACTTCCTGTGAAATTTTAACTGACCGTCCAAAATAAAAATAACCCCAGCAGAGAGTGTGGCGTGGAACAGCTGGAAGGTCGGAGCAGAGCATGCATGTACGATACAGTATCTCGGACTCTCAGATAGCCTTGAGGATGTCGGCCGCCGCCTGGTAGTCGGCGAGGGTGACGATGTTCGGGGAGTCCATGGCGACGACGTCCTCTGCCAGAAACCCGTCTTCGTCGCGGCGCAGCTCCTCGCTGCCGTGGCTAACTAGCTCCGGCAGGACCAGCGTCCTGTGCAGGCCGGGGAGCAGCCGCTCGCGGTCGGTGTCGCCCTTGTCGCCCACGAGCACGGCCACCTTGGCCAGGTCGATGCCCCACTGTATCGACAGGTACCTGTACACACAGCAACATACAGATGGCCGCGTTAAGGCATGCCACTCGGCCTGATGAGTGACGAGTGGGAGATGCCAGCCATTGTCTGTCACCTGAGCGCGCGCGGCCGCGACGCGGAGAGCGGGATGACGTTGAGGCGCGTGCACGCGCGCGTGTACACGAGGTTGCACCGGAACCCGCGCATACGCAGCGACTGCCGGATCGAGTCCACCTTCTTCACCTGCAGACGGAGCTCGTAAATCCGCCGCTGCCATGGAAGAAAGAGAGACATGAAACGAGGTGCCCAGGAAACGGCCGTCACCTTGGACGCGCCGGTGGCGGCGTAGGCGTGGCAGTGCACGGAGCATGCGGCCTCATCGACGGCGAGGTCGGCCTCCAGCGCGCCCTCGGCCTTGCCGAGCCTCGGCACGGCCGCGCGCACGTGGTCACCGGGCCACCGGAACGCCACGTGCCCCGCGTACTCCTCGTCCGCGGCGACCTCCCCCCTCCACGGGTAGCAGAGCTCCGCGCCGCTGCTGCAGATGAGCGCGTCGAAGGAGACCGGGTCGGCGCCGCAGGCGCCGAGCGCGTCCGCGGCCTCGGAGATCGTCATCCCCGTCGACAGGACGCACCCGAGCCGCCCGCCGGCCGCGGCCGCCGCCGACAGCGCCAGGTCGACGGCCTTCTTCATCCCCACCGCGTCCGGTGCGCCGTTGCCGTCGTAGCAGTCGACGGCGAGGACGAGGAGGCCCTGCCGCCGGCCCGGCGCGTGCCCGATCGCTGCCCTCGCGGTCGGCGGCCGGTCGTCGGCGGTGGAGCTGCGGCGCCGGCGGCGCAGCGCGTCCATGATGGCCGCCGCGGCGGAGTCCCCGCCGGACCCGGCGGCCTTGAGGTCGTGCGAGGCGTCGATGGAGATGGACAGGCCGCGGAGCGACTCCGAGAGCGAGTCGTAGTCGGTGCCCCCCCGCTCGGCGGCGGCGGCCGCGGCGCGCGGGCTGGCGGGCACGCGGAGCAGCTGGTGCGGCGCCGGGTGGTCGCAGTTGGCGGCCACGTGGGAGAGGTAGAGGCGGCAGTGGTGCGGCCAGGAGAAGCGGTGGATGTTGCGGAGGCCGTTCCGCCGGCACTCGGCCCACCGCGCCTTGTCGGCCAGCAGGCTCAGCAGCGCCTCCGTGACCGCCGCCGCGTCGTGCGGGTCCACCAGCAGCCCGTTGTGCAGCGCCTTGATGATGTCCACCGGCCCGCCGTTCTTGGTGGCCACCACGGGCAGACCATATGCAGCGGCCTGCAGGTATTACAGACACACAACACAGGATGTGAATTTCACTGAAAACAAACCAAAAAAATTCATTGAACAAGTGATCAAATCAGTTTTTTTCTGAATCTGAACCTTGACTGTGTTACGAGATTCTCCTTACCTCGATCAGGGTGAGGCCGAATGGCTCCACGAGTGCAGGATTAATGAACACTCCCTTGGTTTTGGCGGCAAGGCGGTATATGTGCGGCACGTCGGTCTGCTTGTGGTGCTTAGGGTAGGCCACGCAGCCGTACAGGTCGTAGCGGTCGATGAGCTTGAGCACTGCCGTCAGAACAGTGGCGGCGCCGCCGGACATCTCCTCGATGTCATCCCTGTTCCCCAGTATCAGCGTCTGCAACATCGCATTTGGTCAGCTACTCAGCTCAGCAGAACTTGGCCAGCAGAACAATTACATTACCAATGGGCAAGCTCGATCGGTTCTTATATTCTTACAAGGTTTGCAAGCTCGCGGAGGTGTCGGCTCTCGCCGTAGGCCTTGAGCAGCGTGGTGACGTTCTTCTTGGGGTCCGGCCTTGACAGCGCCAGGATCATGGGCTTGTGCGGGTTGGCGAAGAACCTGAGGACCTCCGACCAAATCGGAGGCAGTGGCTTCTTCGGGCTGCTCATGATCATCTGAAGGTCGGCCGCGTCGCCGCCCTCGGCGGCGAGGTCCTGAGTGTCGACGTAGCTGAAGTCCATCCCGGGCGGGATGACGACCATCCGCGGCATGTATCGTCCGAGGCAGCTGACGCCCCTGCGTCGCCGCACCCGGAGCTTGCGCTCCACCATGAGGTCGAAGCCGTCGTAGAGCCCCCACTGCTCCTCGATCTCCTGCTTGGTGCTGGTGACCACCACCTCGGCGGCGTCCAGCCCGGTCTCCTCGGCCTCGACCCGGCGCGCGATCCGGTACGTGCCCTGGATCTCGGCGCGCGGCATCCGGCCCAGCATCAGCAGCTGCTCCAGCTTGTTCCGCCCCAGGGAGTGGCCCGTCATCACCATGGGCACGTTGAGCGCGCTGGCCAGGTGCGCCGCCACCTCGGCGGCGTCCGCGTAGTGCCCGTGGACCACGTACGGCCACACCGGCGGGGATGGGCATCCCGCGCCGGCGCCGGTGGCTTCGAGGTGGAGCTGGTCCCCGAGCGCGCGCGCGACGTTGGTGACGTGCGCCAGCGCGCGGTCCACGAACTCCGGGATGTGCGGCCACAGGGACTCCTTGGGGAGGTACTTGTCGCGGGGCCCGCACGGCAGGCGCACGATGTAGGCCCCGCCGCTGCCGCCGTCGCTGTCGTCGGCATGGCGGGTGATCATCTCGACGGGCTCGCCGTAGGTCCAGTCGACGTCCGGGCAGGAGATCTGGCGCGTCAGCAGGTCGACGCGGTGCACGCCGGCGGTGGCCGCCAGCGCCCGGGCCAGCTCCACCACGTACTTCACCTGGACGTGAGTGAAACGCACGGAAAGGATGGTTTAAAGGGTAAATTTGGTACAGATGAGCTCAGGTAACACTACCGTCGTCCAGCACCAGACGTGTCAACATCTGGACCGGACTTGACAATTCCCCGATCCCGAGCGATAAGATTCTAGACTGGACGTGACCAGACGCACAGGTAGTATAGCGGCCATTCAAAATTCCATTTTACGAACTGCAGGGAAATCATATATAATAAAGCTATATATATATAAGGGGAATGTTTGAGACTGACCTGGCCCCCGGTGTCAGAGTCACGGCCGAGCTCCATGTTCTCGCCACGGACGAGCCCGTGTATGCTGCAACGCAACCAACGACCCAATTCTTATCTTAGAGTGAACAAAAAATCGTGTCGTGTCAAGCAGTGAGTGATCCCTCACCCTCAGAGTCGAGTCGGACAGGAACGGATCACATGGGTATTAATGTACCTGATGAGCACGATGTAGAGGTTCCTGTCGTCGGTGCCGTCGTCGTCCTCGTCGTCCGACACGATCCGGGCCTCGGACGCGATCCTGGCCACCGACAGAGCGGCGTCGGCGCGGTGGTCCTTGGTCGTCTCGCCCTCGGAGAGCTCCTCGGCGGCCTCCCGGCTGCCCTGTTCCTGCTCCAGCCGCCGCAGCGACAGCTGCCGCGAGTAGTCCCATTCCACCTGGTCGATCGTGGTTACACAAAAAAAACTGAAATCCTACTACCATGTTTGCTTTCATCATTGTATTTTTCGGAATCTGGAATCGCAAGAGGAATCCTCAGATTCGGACACGGCTCCAGGATGGACCGCCCATTTCCTAGATGAATGGGCCAAATCAACTGCGCTACAGGAATCAATGGTCGCTACAGGAATTAGAGTTCCCTTTGAATGAGGAAAGGGGGTATATGTGCAGTGCAGGGCATGGCTTGGAACTCCTTTCCTGACAACGAGATGTGCCGTGTCAATCAAAAAGGAAAAAAGAAAACAGTTGACAATCGGAGGCGCCAGGTGCCCTATGGGCCAGGTTAACTCCGAAGCTGATGAGTGATGACGATGATCATCGATTCATCTTTATTTTCGGAGGACAAACGCAGATGAAGGAAGAACACTTGAACAAGTCCTAAAAAAAAGCAGAGCAGGCGCCATGCCCTGCGCCGTGTGCAGACGTGCTTTTTCTCCGAACGAAACAAGGAATATTTATATATACACGTACCTGCTTCTTCTTCCTGGCGACGTGCCAGATCCTCCAGCACAGGTTCTCCAGCCGGTTGCTCCGCTCCTGGCTGTTGCGCATCGCCACCACCTGCTTGCGAGCAAAGGAGCCAAGAATCGATCATCGCTTTTCATTAGGAGAGACGATCATCGGGCAGCGTGCGCTATGGCCACGCACACGCACCTTGGTCCACGTCTTGTGGAGGTCCCGGTCGTCGAAGCGGCTCACCACCTCCTCCACGAAGTATCGCGTGGGGCTGTACGCCGCGGCACCCTGATCGCCGGCCTCCGCCGGCAGCCTCGGCAGCGGCGGCGCCGCGCCGCCCTGGCCGTGCCGCTGCCCGCGCAGCCTCGCGCCAGCGTCCAGGATCGCCTCCAGGTACCCGTTGATCCACTCGTTCCCCGCCGCCATGGTCGCCGCCGCCGCGGGCGCACCGGAAGTTTTTGATCAGGAGCCACGTACCGAACGGCTAGGCTCCAACAGTCCAACTGAACAATTGCTCTGCTTTGCTTTATGTACGCGCAGAGTGCAGAGTGCAGACCGCGCGCAGAGGAGAGAAAGCAGGGCATCTATGCTACTGTTATAGCGTCGAGCAGAGCATGCTGCCCCCCTCCCTCTTTTTGTCTTCAAAAAATATAAATCAATATTCAGAAATATTCCAAAAACCATAGGTTCCTTTTTTAATAGCGAGACGGAATATTTCCTTTTTCTTTTGCGGTTTTCTTTTCAAAATTCAATTTAGAGAAAGAATAATTTATTGGTGGCTATGGGATTCTTGGGCATATATATATATAGAACTATTATTCTGCAGCTGGCCATAGAATAACTTATTCTGTGGCCACTTTGAGTTACGATAGTTACTATGCTAATTTACGAGACTACAGTACCTCCTTACTAAGTGATTTACTATAACATTATGGTAAATATCACCGTGAATTGTAGTAACACGAGTATCGTAAATGCATATTCATTATCGTAAATTGGTACAAACATTATATAATAAATCGAGGTGGTAGTATAGAATAAGTTATTCTATATAAAATATATATATATATATATATATATATATATATATATATATATATATATATAATACAAATATATATCCTGGCGATGGGATTTCCAGCGGCAGTGCCAGCCGATGTGGTGCACTGCGGATGATGACCGGCGACGGTGAGGCAATCAACTGCGCCACAAGTGGCTTGCGGACGGCCCACGGCGGCGTCGCCACTCGCCAGGCAATGCAAAGCTAGCTGCGTGCATGGCATTGGCACACGTTTATATGCCTCGAATATGCCCCTTTATTGATTTTTTCCCCTATATACATAATTATTATAGTATTAGTTTTTCGTCAGCGGCCCAACGCCATGTGTCATCTCCTCCTCCCTCGGGGCCCGTTGAAGGCTCTGCTACTCTAGTAGCTCCGACAATAATTCTGGCAAAGGAGCTAGAGAAATCGAACCAGATATCCTAGAGGCAAGAACTGTTCTGCATTCCAGAGTGGCCGTAGCCGGCAGAGACATATTTTTAAAAAACTGGACCTGTAATTTATGATTCTTTTCTCTGGCTTTCACCCCGGCTCCTCCCAAGAAATAATTGCACTGTTTGTTTAGCTGATAAGCTATGACTAAAAATATTGTTGGCTGATTTGTTGTGAGAGAAAAATATTATTTGTTGGTCAAAAAAGTACTGTTTATAAACAAGCGAACATGCCAAGTATCTGAGAAGAAATCGTGCCAAACGAGCACTTCACAGTTCGCACCTGGCGGGAATTAAAAATAATGGAGTGCTCTATCAGAGCATGCCGCCGTTCCAGAAGGCCATACGAGCCTGTGCTGTGTGTTGTGTTGTGTTGGATCACCGACACGTGGTTTGCCACAACTGTCATGAAAAAGAAAGAAATCATAGCATGTGTGGTGTAGTCGTTGGATTTAATAGTTGATTAAATACCCTTACCAAAATACAATTAAATCAAGGTTTAATTCTAAACTATAAACTATGTGCATAATTATCCTACATCAGAAATTGAGAGGGAAACCAACCGGCCCTGTCCGGTAAAGCTTCGGATAAAAGATTTTTTCTAGCTTTAGCTTCAATAGCTAAAAAAAAACAGTTTATCCTAGTTGTTTAAATGGTTGAATGTCCATAATATCCTTTATTTTTTTCATTTTCTTTCTTTCGCTTCTCTCTCCACTCACCTGCTCTCCCACTCCTCCACCGCACTACACACCTCTTCTCCATCCTCCTCCATAGGGCGCTGCTAGTGTCGGGTTTCGCCGGCTTCCTCCCAGGCCTCGACGCCCCCAACGTCAGCGCACGGTCTACTCTGCCCTGACATCTACTTGGGCCTGCCTTGCGTTTCTGTCGGCTTGCCCCTCCTTGAGCCACGCCACCGTTGCCCCGCCTCCGTGACGCTGGCTCCAGGTCTACTCTACCTCGATAGCTGCTCGGGCCTGCTTACGCGTCGGCGTCGGCTAGGCCCCTCCCTAAGCCACACCACTCTTACCGCACTTCTGCGGCGCCATTGGCCGACCTCTCCTCGAACCACAAAGATAGTTGAATGACTTGAAGATGTGGGTGTGTGTCAACATTTTTCATACATCCTTAATGAGTTGTGGCACTAGAATCTGCTAAGGCCCTTTTTGGTTAGGCTTTTGAACCTGCTTCGGATTCAAAAAGCCAAAAGCCAATAAAAGGGGTTGGCTTTCACCAAAGCCACAGCCAAAATCAGTTTTCTTTGGCTAGTACAAATTTCACGTCACCCTCACCTCTGCTTTCACCTCTTGTGGCTTCAACTTTTGGTGAAAAATACTCACTGCCACTTGTTATGTTATGTAATGGTTCATTTCTTTTCCGATTTCCCCCCTATCTGCATGGAGAAGCTTGGTGGACACCTTGCGACCTCGTGGCCGACGACCTTGCTCCTCCATGCGCCGCTCTACCAGTCGGCGGACCTAGCGGCTCCAGGCCGGCGGCCACCCGTTGGCGACCCAGCGACCCCTTCCTCAGCTCCATTCTGGCCTTCGTCTGCTGCTTCCCCACGATGACGATGAGGCCTGTTGATCTTGGTCCTGCCGGTGGTGTTCCTTCCTTAGCTCCACTTCGGCCGCCATCTCCGCCGCAGGCGCAGCTTGGCCGCCGCCATCTTCCTTAAATTATGCCTGAATTTTGATACCATTTAGGAAACCCGTTCCTTAACATTGTTTTTTTTTGGCAATTTCCCTAGATTTAAGAAATATTTTACTAATAAATTCTTGAGGATTAAAATCTCTCAAAGTTCACATACTCATTCGCTGGATGGAGGATATAATGGAACCTAAACCTATACCTATAGGTGCAGCATCAGATGGTTTGTGCTAACTAGATGCATCACATGTTCCCTTCTTGGTGCGCATGAGTTGTACTTAACTCTTGAAAGACTGGGCAGTTCTCTCAACCGTTGATTCGAAGAATGAAGTTGATATGGTGCTCCTATTGATATCAAGGTCTCGTGGCACAAGATGAATGAAGGAAATTAAATAGGCTGCTACCGACGTTTGACTTTGACACAGGATATCAGCACTTTTCACAATGTAATGCTAAGAAACCTATCTCCTGAAAGAAACCACCTGAGTACCTGACAACACGCTAGAGAAATCATACGCGCAGTTACGTGGGCGTAATTATATGTTATTTTATAGCCTACCTCAATTTACGATAATTTTATATATTAATTTACAATAATGTCAATACATATTTACGATAGTTGGATTACTATAACACATGGGGATATTTACCATAACGTTATAGTAAACCACTTAGCAAGGAGTTACTATAATCTCGTAAATTAACATAGTAATTATCATAACTCAAAGTGACTACAGAATAAGTTATTTTATAGCCAGCTACATGGTAGTATGCCCCTCCCTCACATACTCCTATCCTCAGTCCAAACAGATGAAACACGTAGATACTTTTTTCCCAATCCCCCACCACAGAGAGACACATCAGATACCATTACCTATCCAATAAAATAACATCTTTAAATCCTAAACTAAATCTAAAAAAATACGAGCACCACATCAAATCGAGACCTTGAACCTAGGGTTTCACCATAAAAACCCAACCATCTAAGCTATAGGTTGAACTTGGCCCATGCCCTTTTGGATCATGATCTCTAAGCACGCGAGACACATCGGACCATACCGATATGGCATGGCAACTCTTTGCTTCAATCCAAGCACGATCCATGGCACATTGATACAACTTAGTCGTGCCAGCCCAAGCAGCAGTCTTTGAAATATCTTTCATAGTTATACAAAAAATATATTTATATGTACCTTCTTTTTATAAAAGTTCCTATGATTTAATAATCCATTTAAGAACTAGATGAGAGGTTATATAGTAAATAGAAATTATATTGTAGTATTATAGATGTACTTACGTGCTATTTTCCAGCCCATGTCATGCAACTAATCGGGCTGAGATCCTAGACATAACTGAAAGCTCTAGTTTAGTTTTGGTAATTGAGTGCCAATCATGTGGGCTAATTCTTTTTATTTAGTATGATTAGCTAGAATCTACTTGATGGTGATGGACAAGGCATAGGAGGTGATGGAGATGGAGATCATGCTCTCTCACATATGCATATGTTCATCAAACGAAGAGAAGATGGGGGCCAAGGCAAGCGAAGGCAAATGTATATAATAGGGCTTTGCTTTTGGCAACAAAGGTGCAATAGAGTGCACGATTGGGTTTATGATAGATAACCATACTAAAAAGAAGAGAAATCTTTTGTTGCAACGATTATCTAGTGCCACTAAGTGTGAGTTTCATGTGCATATGCATTACATTTAGTGACGTGGTTAGATGCAAGAGAAAACCCTTTGAAAAATGTTTGGTAAATGCTAACTCACTTGCACATATGTTGGACACTTAGTGGAGTTAGCACATTTAAAAAGGGGACGAAAAGAAGCTGACTGGGGTGCCTTGGCACCAGATTAGTCTGGTGCTTGCCTGTAGAGGGCACCATACCATGCGGTACACTGGCTGTGTACAGGTGCTTTCTAGCCGAGGCTAGGGCTAGCCATTGGATTAGTCCATTGGTTAATTCTAAGGGTCACCGGACCAAGCGCTAGCACTGTTCTAGGAGGGTTTATTCGGTGTACTCACCAGATTAGTCTGATGTGAAGTACTGGACAAGTCCGGTGGCTGTTTTTCGGTTCTAGAACCTTATTGGACTGCACCGAATTAGTCCAATGGTTAGGGTTAGCTTAACATTGGACCATGTGCTACAATGTGACCGTTGGAGGGTAACCACTAGTTTTTCTAGAGGCGTGGGGTGAGAAGGCAGCTGATTAGTCCTGTGCTGTCTTTGACAGAGCACCAGACCAATCCGTAGTCTGTGTAGTTTGTTCCCAACGACTAGTTTC